TCCTCCCTTTTTTCGATCAGTGATGCCAGCAAGACGTTTATGCACACACACACACAAAATTATGTTGTTTCCAAGTAGTCTCTCGAGAATAAATATTAAAAAAAAAATGTATTCTCTTAAAACCACATATAAAATGATGATTTTTCAGAAAAAAACTAAAATAAATTAAGATCCATTATTTTTCATGATTCAAGAGAAAATTTATAAACAAAATCATGTAAAATTATTCCACTATATGCTCTTCAAGATAGATGCATTATAATAGTTGTTAAACTCAATTCAAGTTGTAGCATTAACTCAAGAAACTCGAAATCTAAGATTTGACTCGGATGATATTGTTAATTGAATCAAATTAAATATTAACTCGATAAAACTCAATTAACTTACCTGATTTTAATTAGTCAAAATACTCAACCACGAAAAAGAATGGAAAACTAACATTTCCTCCAATAATCCAGTGACGGGGTTTTTTTTTTTTTACCAGTCTTTGGATAGGGTTTGCATGTACTATAAACGGTCATACTAGAAATTGTTCAAAGCTTTTGTGGTTGAAATTAAGAAAATTAAAACAATAGGTACCAAAATGAACCTTTTTCTGTATCATTTCTTGATTCACCTATAAATATCCGCACTCGACGCCCGTAATTACTCTTCAACTTCTTTCCATCTCCTTCGGCCTCCCCCACCACCTCTTCCCTCTCTAAAGAATCTCTGTTTCTGCCTCATTCTTTGGTCTCTCTTCACCATGTCATCAACGGCAGCGGATATGGAGCCACTAACATCAGGAGCAAGCAATCGCATAATCCCAATCCTGAAAACCGTAAAAACTTCTCTTCTTTTCATTCATTCACTTTTCTTTTCCCTCCTTCTCCTCCTCCCTCGCCGTTACCGCCGCCTTCCCATGGCTGATTCCGCCTCTCCGCCATCGCCTAGCAAGTCGGGGAAAAGACGGAGATTAGAGGAGGAAGATACTCTGAGAAGGAGAGCTCTTGCTGAGGGTATTGATATGACGACCGGTAACGAAGATTGCCGGTGGAATACGTTCTTGTTCTTTGGTGCTAGAAGAAATGCTCTCTTCGTTAGGTCTTGGCTTCCGATAACCGGTCAAATGAAGTGAGTTTTTCTATTTCCTTTTTATTTTGTTTAGAAAGTATGTGCTTTATTTATTTATTTTTATTGGTTTGACTGAGAAATGAGAACACGGGAATAAAGGAATTTTAAGAAAGAGTGAAACTTGCATGCAACTTCGGGCTTGGTTAATAATTACACTGTTTGAAAGTCACTGTTTATGTGGACTTAAACAAGTTATTTTTTTTTTAAAAAAAAAGCAATTAAAAAAGGTAGTTGAATCATCTTAATTGAATTTGAGGTTAATTATTTATGTTTTTTTTTCTTAATTGGAAATTACAGTTGTTGTTTTCGAAAGTTGGGTTTTTTATTCTCTAATTGTTGTGGTTCAATTCCTAGTTAATTAGTGATTTTTACTTCATGCTGCATCCAAGAATCTGATGAGATAGAAATGGAATGAATTTACTGGTTCACATAGGGAAGCAAGATTTAATTGAAAGGTTTTGGACCAGAAAATTGTAATCTTGATTTTAAAGACATTTTCGTTTAAAGTCTCGTAATTTTTTTTTTATGAAATAATATGCTATATAACACCATGAACTTTGGGAAATCGTAGTTTTTTTTCCACATATTGTTATTGTTTTGTTGTGATTGATGTTTTTTTTTTCCTTTTTCTTAAAAAAAAAACGCAAAGAAATAGTGTTTTTTAATACGAGAACGAGCATGTTGTGAACTTGGAAACGTGAAATGTTGTTGTATTTGCTGCACATCAGGCCTTACAGTAAGTGAAAGGATAAAGGGGCTGTCGAGCTGCTTCGTTCTGATTTACTGTGGTTTTCGTTCCACACATGACACAACTTTAGCATGTATATCTTTACTTTCATCCTGTTTTCTGTTGTTTCCGCTCCCATTGATTCAGTACTGAGATATGAGGGTTGCTTTGTGATTTCAGGGGCATTTTGATCATTATTCATGGGCTCAATGAACACAGGTAACGTTTGTGGATTTCGGTCAATATTTGAACTTCTGTTGCATCTTCAATTTCCCTCCTATTAGTGATAAAATTTGAAGCTAATCCTCTTTTTTTTTTGTTTATTTTGTGCCTTACAATTAACAGTTTTTCTGAGTTCTCCTCTGTTGGGCTTTCATTTTCAGTGGAAGATATGGTCAATTTGCAAAGCAACTAACATCATGCAACTTTGGCGTCTATGCAATGGACTGGACAGGTAGCTAGCTTTTGTAAAGATGTTTGCGTATTTGGTTTCTTCACCTTTATAGTCAAAAGGTTGCTGTGGAGCTTCATGCTCTGTTTATTTAGAGCACATGAATAGTTACATTTGCTAAAGTCTACTGGAAAGTACTTTAAGTTGAAACCAGAGAGATTTTGATAACTTCCTCATTGAGATTGGAGCATTCCAATGCCTGCTTATGCTGATAAAAAAATTTATAACCTTTTCTTTCGGTATATTATTAGCATTTCTTTCTCTATCATTTGAAATTGTTTCTAGTCCGAGTCTTTAGCTTTGTCATATGGTGTAATTATTCTTCTTTTTTTTCATGGCATAGGTCATGGTGGGAGTGATGGGTTGCATGGATATGTTCCTTCACTAGATCATGTCGTTGCAGATACTGTAAGTTCAGTCATACCTTTCTCTTTATTCTTTCCAAGACAGCTGTTCTTTATCCTACCCATCCATGGTGCTATGGTAAATTGCAAATGATCATTACTGTGTGTCATGTCCTGTACTCTGTGTTAAGGCTTACAAAACCGTCTCTTCTTAAGCAGCTTAGCAATTAATTTATCACTTTTTTTATTCTTTTCCCTGCCCTGGCAGTACATTCAGTCTGAATCCATCATGATGTTTTGTTTTGTTTATAGGAATTCACTTCAAGCATCCATAATATACCTAATTTATCATTTTTTTTTAATTCTTTTCCCTGCCTTGGCAGTACATTCAACTTGAATCCATCACGATGTTTTGTTTAGTTTATAGGAATTTACTTAAAGCATCCATAATATACCTACATAACCGTTAGGAATGAACTTTGTAACTTCTGTATAAATAGGGAGCTCTATTGGAAAAGATCAAGTCAGAGTACCCTGGAGTACCATGCTTCCTTTTTGGTCACTCAACTGGAGGTGCTGTGGTTTTAAAGGTAATATACACTTATAAAGGAAGTTTTATTCTGTTTTTTTTTTGGTCTCCCAGTTTCCATTATTATGCTGATCTAATCAATTGCATCTCTGAGTAGGCAGCCTCATATCCTTACATCAAGGAAATGCTGGAGGGGATTATTCTGACCTCACCTGCTTTGCGTGTCAAGCCTGCACATCCTATTGTTGGGGTAAGTGTTTTCTGTCTTCTAGATCACAATGATGTGGAAGTGTTAATGATGATAACTGTGATGTGCTAGATTGGGTTCTCATGGTTTGTGAGTTGAGTTTTTGAGAATGTCATTTTGAAATTCTTAGGGTTCAGTGCATCAGAGTTAAGGTCCTATACTCTTGAAGCATGATAACTCTGACATGTTGGATCGTGCTGTTATGGTTGATGTCCAATTCATTAGATTTTATGAATTCTAGAAGCTGTTTCAAAACAAAAACATACCAAAGCTTGAAAATGCTGTGTGCGGTATAACCTTTTTATCCCTGCATAGTGGTAATGTTACAATTCTAGCTTTTAATGTGTGGAACCAAGACAGAAACATTACCCTGCAATAACTGTGTTTAAGGAGCTCATTTTACTTGAAATTTGCCATCAATCCTTAGAAACAAGAGGTTACATTAGTTTTAATTTTGATTCTTTCTATTAAAATATTCATTTATTATTTTCATGCAGGCTGTGGCTCCTATTTTTTCTCTGGTTGTCCCCAAGCTCCAATTTAAAGGAGCAAACAAAAGGGGCATTCCAGTTTCTAGGGATCCTGCAGCACTTCTGGCCAAGTATTCCGATCCATTGGTCTATACAGGACCCATAAGAGTCCGCACAGGGCATGAAATATTGCGTATATCCTCTTATTTGATGCGGAACTTCAAGTCCGTGATCGTCCCATTCTTTGTGCTCCATGGAACTGCTGACAAGGTGACTGATCCTCTAGCATCTCAAGATTTGTACAATGAGGCAGCCTCCAAGTTCAAAGACATAAAGCTTTATGATGGTTTCTTGCATGACCTTCTCTTTGAGCCTGAACGCGAAGAAGTTGGTCAGGATATAATCAGTTGGATGGAGAAGAGATTAGATGCTGAATCCGAACAAATATACAGTTAGATTTAGATTCTTAGTGTCAAGGGCTTGGCTTGGTCATAAGTATAGCAATTTCAAAATTCGTATTACGTCACGAGTTTATTCCTCCCGCATTTGTGCATCTCATGAAATGGAACTTGTATTTATGCAAAGAAAAGGAAGCTCTCTCATGTTGTGGCTTCTGTTTTCTGCAAAAGGAAAAACGTTTTCTTCTTTATACAGGCTTGGAAATTTCCTCCTTTGCATTTCCACACGGTAAACAAAAATAATGCTAAAAATATTACTAGTTGGCCCTCGCATCAATGTTATGTCAGATTGCCATTACTTGCAACAGCTAGCTAGAGTTACTCTAGGGAGTGCCCCTTTCAGTAGAGGGAAGGTCCCGTGCATGGGTTACCCTTTTTTCAGTTGAACGTTGAGGCTTATTCCTCCCAACAGAATTTCTCTGCTCGTCATATTTTTGTCTTAAAAGCAATTTTGACTAGCAGAATTTGCTGGTATCACTGATGATGCTATGGTGCTTCTCAAAATGCAAACAAGCTTTTCAATAATATAGAAGCCATGCCTAATGCTGGCCACATGAACACCAAATGACAGCGCTAACATAAAATCCAAATCCCACCATCTCAAAGTGTGTGTGTGTGAAAGAAAAATGAAACCAATCTGGGTGATTTTACTTTATATTTGCTGAAAACAGATTTTATTCATCATTATATAGTACAAAGGTACGAATAAATTGCTGCTCAAGCTGAGCTATTCATTCATCTCCTTGAATTGTACTCCACGTCAACAATCTTCTGACAAAGGCTTCTTCCCTGTAGAAACCATGTGCCTCAGGCTAAGAGCCCATCAACGAGAACAACAGATATTAAGACTAGCAATAGGCCTACCATAGATATTAAACTTAACCCGATAGGACATCCTGTTCCATGTTCTTGCCCATGGATTGGAGACAGAAGTTAATGAAAGAACTGAAATCCTCCAACGTCCACCCTTCAACTGGATCAGCAATGAAAGACCACTCGATCTTGCACCCATTTTCACCTGCATCTGATCCATTAATTTCCAATACCTTCATGGTGGCCACATATGATTTGAATCCGGAGTTGTTTTCAAGGACCTCGTAGCTTAGACACTTTTCAGTAGGATTAATCATCAATAGCCTCTCTTTGACCCAACGGACCTCGGCCTCATCATAACTGCCATACGTTGATAGTGTTTTAGAAGCACAGTACCGAGTCAGGCCAGGCTTTCCCAGCTCACCATCCACATGGTTGCATACGTCTATACTTGGAAACCATTTGTTTATATTGCAGAAGTCCTCCAAGAGAGGCCATATTTGGTCTGCTGTTGGCCCTTTTAGCTCAACTATGGACTTGCCTTCCCATTTAATCTGTGGTGTTTCTTCTGCCATGTTAGAGAGAGGATGTGTGTTTTGAAGGGCAGTTGTTCATCTACATATATTGCCCAACAATTTGATGCATGAGATTGAAATTAGTGGCTAATTAATTACTTTGATCGGTAACTGCCATGATGTCATCATGTTTACAATATAATTATCTATCACTATCAACAACATTTATCCTCTAATCTATCTCCATAGCCACTAAAGGCAAAATAATTGACTGAATTATCCCTCTCCCCTTGTAACTTGCCATGTCCTATGACTGTATAAAGAACAAGAAGGTATACGATTGAAGGAGCATCTTCTTCTTTGACTCCCTCTCCTTCCCTTATATTTTTACATTTCCCTTCACTTGATATCTCATACTCTTACACACCTCCTCCTTCATACATTAACTTATTATCAGAGTATCCCTCTATTCCGCCAAGGGGACTTATTTTGAAGGTACCTGCATCTTCAATAAACTCACATTTTACTATACAAAAATCCAAATCATTTTTTGGAGTTTTACTACTTCTTCAAGATTAGTGGTTTCTTGAGAGACAAACGACTACTTTGGGGATCTCTTTTCCCAGCAGAGAATTATTTTAGAGCAACTTCTAAGTTAGAAGTTGATACATTAGAGTTATATCAACAGCCTGAAATTAAATCCATGTGCACGTATATTTGCTCCAGTGTACAGGTGAAAATTACAGGAAAGATCAGCTTATGTTTTTGGTTTACAAATTAATACAGCAAGAAATCATGTAATTGAACAGGCGAATATCAGAATTACTTGAGAAGTATGTGATGAGGGTTTCAATGGTATTTAAATAATTAAGATCAAGACTGAATGACCACTCGATCTTGCCCCATGTTGAATATCTCCACTGAATATTGGCGACCCTTTAATGGTGGCCACACATGGCTTATCTTTGGCATAATTTTCAAGCATCTCATAACTTCGGCACCGTTCAACGGGATCATTCATCACCATCTTCTAATTGGCCCAGCTGACCTCACTGCCGATGTTAGCATTGTGCTGGAAGCCACTTATATAGATTACAGGAGGCATCCAAAAATGACCATGCGTGGTCTGCTACTGGGCCTTTTAGCTCAGCTATGGCCTTCCCTTCCCATCCGGGGGCTGTGCTTTCTGCCATTAAAGAGAGGTGTAGTTTGATGAGCAGTTGTTCATCCATTTATATCCAACAACAAATTTGATGCCTGATATTTAAGGCATGCACCAACTTTTGTAATGCATTATTATTTTTCTACTTTAATTAGTTTAGTTATTTCAAAAAAGAAAAATGGCTAGTCTTGGAGAATCTGTTTTCCCTTGATCACAAAAGAAAAATGGCTAGTCTCGGAGAATCTGTTTTCCCTTGAAAGAATTAGATTACAGTATCTTCCTTATCTTATTGGGTGGGGGAGCAAAAAAAAGAGAGTTATATAGATATATTAGAGTATAGCTTCTTGGAGAAAGTTCAGGAATTTTTTATTAAAATCCCATACCTAAGATTTGCCAATCCATAGATATACCGCCAGGACAAGGTTTCATCAAGTGCCCAAGATCATATTTTGCCACTTCATGATTCTACAACTCGAATTTACCAAGAAATTTTCTACAAGACCAAGAAATTTAATGCAGAAGAAGTTCTAATTGGCCCAGCTGACCTCACTGCCGATGTTAGCATTGTGCTGGAAGCCACTTATATAGATTACAGGAGGCATCCAAAAATGACCATGCGTGGTCTGCTACTGGGCCTTTTAGCTCAGCTATGGCCTTCCCTTCCCATCCGGGGGCTGTGCTTTCTGCCATTAAAGAGAGGTGTAGTTTGATGAGCAGTTGTTCATCCATTTATATCCAACAACAAATTTGATGCCTGATATTTAAGGCATGCACCAACTTTTGTAATGCATTATTATTTTTCTACTTTAATTAGTTTAGTTATTTCAAAAAAGAAAAATGGCTAGTCTTGGAGAATCTGTTTTCCCTTGAGAGAATTAGATTACAGTATCTTCCTTATCTTATTAAGCAGGGAAAATGTAAAAAAAAGAGAGTTATATTGATATATTAGAGTATAGCTTCTTGGAGAAAGTTCAGGAAATTTTTATTAAAATCCCATACCTAAGATTTTTCCAATCCATAGATACCGCCAGGACAAGGTTTCATCAAGTGTCCAAGATCATATCTTGCCACTTCATGATTCTACAACTCGAATCTACCAAGAAATTTTCTACAAGACCAAGAAATTTAATGCAGAAGAAGTTTTCATGGGAGTTGAAAAAAAGGCTGAGACAAGGTGTTTCTCCTAATAACTAAGCTAATAACATATAATGATTAACATTAATAACATCACTTCTTATTCAACTAAAAACCAAATTTCAGCTAGACAGGCCAATTTTTTAAATAAAATTATCTAGATAGGACATCCTGTTCCATTTTTTCCCCCATGAACTGGAGAGAGGAATTAATATAAGAATTGAAATCCTCCAATGGCCACCCTTCAATTGGATCAGCAATGAAGGACCACTCGATCGTGCACCCATGTTGACCATCCCCATCTCCATCGTTGATTGGCGATACTTTAATGGTGGCAACATATGACTTGAATCCAGCGTTATTTTCAAGGATCTCATAGCTTAGACACCGTTCGCTTGGATTGATCATTATTAGCTTCTCTTTGGCCCAGATGACCATATTCTCTTCATCTTCATGACTCCCTTCCGATGGTACTTTGCTAAAATTGCAGCACCGAACCAGGCCAGGTTGTCCTAGCTCCCCCTCAACTCGGTAGCATGTATCCACTCGTGGAAGCCACTTTTGTAGATTACAGAAGTCTTCCAAGCAAGGCCATACTTGGTCTGCTGTTGGGCCTCTTAGCTCAACCGTGGCCTTGCCTTCCCATTTGCCTTGTGTTTCTTCTGTCATGATAGAGGGAGAGGAATGTTGGGTTCTGTGAGGGTCGGTAGTGGTGACCTGACCAATTATGATGCTTAAGCCACTTTGGTGAGCGTACGACTTCAGATTTTTTCCCCCTAACTGTTGCTTCCAAGGGTAAGGACAATGAACTGGCGTAGTAATAGTGGTCCCACCATTATCAGAGTTATCCTAGTTCATTGACACGCAGTGGTTGAAGGTTTTAAATTGTTTCGAAATAATACTTTCGACTACTCCAGCCACCGTATTGCGGTGGCTTGTTCCTCCCTTCTCTAACCAGTCAACCTAATATCAACAATCTATACAAATAATTACTTGGTTTCTCCAAAAAACGACCATGCTTGGTCTGCTGTTGGATCTTTTAGCTTTAACTATGGCCTTCCCTTCGCTTCTGGGGCTTGTTGTCTGCCATTAAAGAGAGGATGTCTAATTTGATGGGCAGTTTTTCTTCTATTTATATACAACAACAACTTTGATGCCTGATATTTAAATCAGAGACCATCTTTTGTAATGAATTACTATTTCTCTACTCTAATTAGTTTAATTGTTTCCAAGAAGAAAAATGGAATTATATTACAGTATCAAGGGCGGGGGGGGGAAGAGAGAAACAAACAAATAATAAATTGATAAGAAAATCAAAAAATAAAACAATCAGTGAATTCATGAAATTAAGAATGTATATAAATATACATACATACATAGTGAAAGATCTTATGAAATTTAGCACTCCTATATTTGACATTTAAAGTCATAATTACAAAATTCAATTCAATTTTATATCAATAGATAATTATTTATTTTTATCTCAATGGACACATGTGGTGTCTTAGTTTGGAGAATATCTTTTCACCAAAGAGAATTAGATTACAGTCTTTTCCTAATCTTAATAAGGAAAAAAGGACTTAAATTGACAAAATTAAAATAAGATTTGATTTCTTTTTCTTTTGTCTAGAGTCCTTTTAATAGCCGAAGAAAATATATATATATTTGGGAAAGGTTGACCATCATCATTTATAATTTGGTCCTCGTGTGGGGAAATATTGTTCCCACGTCACATTAGCTCCCCTCATAATTCCTTGTGAAATCCCACAACCATTTCTTTTTTAGTTATTAAACTTTTTTTTCTCATCAATCTCATCCTTTTATGTTCAGATTGAAGGCCAATTATTTCTATTTTATTAAGGAATGATAGAATTAAAAGACAAGGGACTAATATGAAAAAACATGGAGGAAATAGATGGTGGTTTTGAAATTAACTAAAAAAACTTGCTTTGATCCTCTTAGTGGTATACACATTTTTTATTCCTTTGATTTTTTCAAAGTTTACTTTTTGTCCATAAACTTCATTTCTCTTATTCTTTTTTCTTTGGCTTGTGGTAAGAGAGAGAAAATATTGATTAACAATTATTTTGACTATTAAAATTATCATTTTTAGTGTCTAAAAGTTTTATTTTATAAGAAGAGTTCCAATAAGATAACATTTTACCTTTAAATTGCCTAAAAAATTTAACATTAGAAAGTTTTTGGGTTTTTGGTTAATTTGTTGTTTTTTGACCTTTTTTGAGGTTGCTTGAAAGCATAAATGGGTCTATTTGGGTCTATATTATGTTTTTATGGTTTTTTTTTGTTAAAATAAAATATTAAAAATGGATATTTTGCATGTAGAACACTTGTTTCTTGACTTTTCAATTATCTCTGACAGCCAAAATTTAAGTAAAAAAAATTATATCTTTACCTGTTATTTTTTTAAAAAATATTAGGGAGTAGCTTGCCATATATATATATAAAAAAATCATCTCAGGTGCATGGGTTGCCCTAGGCCAACAAGCCTAAGAGGGTGTTTGGCATTGCGTTGAAAAGCGCTTCCGAAAAAAAATAAATTTTTTTTTTATTTTGAACTAATATATTTTTGATATTTTCAAATCATTTTGATGTTCTGATTTTAAAAATAATTTTTAAAAAATAAAAAAATATTATTGGCACACTTTTCTGAATGAAAAGCACTTTGAAAAGTAACAGCAACCATACTCTCAAACATGCTCTAAGCCTTTTTTTCTTCTTTTTTTTTTCAACTTGATCCTTCATAATTGGATCTTTATTGATTTTTCTTGTTTATTTTTTAATTTTATTTTTTAATATTT